TTGTAAAAAAAAAAAAAAAGGGAGCGCGCTCTCTCTCGCGGGCGGGTGCGCGCGAAGCGGTGTGCAGATGTGTCGCAGATTTTGTAAAGTCACTGGACGCTCAGAAAGATCCAGCCAGAGGAAGTCTCTCCGGATAAATGTCAGGGAAACGAGGCGGCTGAAGGGAGCAGCGAGAGGAAGAGAGCACGGGACGGCTGTCACAAGCACTTAACGTTAGCTTAGTTTGTAACGGAGAAATAACGTTACTTTGACAGTTAAACGCCAGCGGACGGACGGACGGACGGCGGCGTGCGCAGAGATGGAGCTGTCAGCGATTGGAGAGCAAGTGTTCGCTGTGGAATCAATCGTGAAGAAAAGAGTTAGAAAGGTAACACCGATACATTGTGCCTGAAATGTGTCAGTCAGCATTTGGGGGAGGAACGTTTGGGGTTTTTTTTTAAGGGGGGGAGAAAAGGGATGCTACTTTGGATGCTAATGAAAGCTTGAGAGATTAAATGAGCAGAATTGCGCGGCTAATCTGGTTATCTAATTGCAGGGCTGTGTAAACAGGGGGGCGGGTTAGAGGAGGATGTCCCTTTAATGTAACGTGGAGAGTGTTGTCATTACACTACAGCTTAACATGTCAGCTGTTTGGATGAAGAGGCTGCGAGAGGACACGGCATGATGTGAGAAATCAAACACCTTCATTTTAGGCCCGTTTGCTTGCTAATTGGATTTGGGTGTAAGTTACCATATGGTGTTGACAGAGGAGGTGCGCAGCTACAAATGATCCCCCCCCCCCCCTGCTACAGGAGGGCCCCCCTGAAACTCCTCTGTTTGTTTACTAGCGGTCCCCCCACCACTCTTACTCCTGGTGGAAACTATTCCAATGTACGGGGGTATAAATAATTGAAACACTGAGTGATAAAGGGAAGGTAGGTTAGAGGATCAGATACAAAGCCATTATGCCAATCAGCTGCATTTTCTGTCAATTAGTAGTAGTAGAGAGAGTAAATCCCCAAATTGAAATAGCATCTGATTTGATCTGTAAAGGGCAATGGTCTCCAAATATAACCCCTTACAACATGATTACCAATTGTTATTTTGATTATTGATTCATCTTTCTGCAATTGTTTGTATTCATTAGTTTGTAGTTTAGTCTAAAGTGACTTCTTTCAAAATTTCTTCCCAGCACTTCAAAAGTATTCAATTTACAATAATAGAAGAGGAAATCTTCGACATGCAGCAGATGTTTGGTGTTTTGCTTGAAAATGAGTTAAACTATTAATCAATTATCAGAGTCAATCAAACAATTAATAATTGAATACGCATGTTCTCACTGATATACAGAATATACAGATCAAGTGCATAACACTAACATACTGCATTCACTAACTGCATTCACAAGGTGTATGCCTGTAACAGTATGGTAAAACAGATTGTATAAGGAGTAGAAAGATACAGATAATTACAACCTAACTTGAACTTCTATTTTGAGAGTGCTCGTAATGTCGATTTACTTGATATTAATTTGTCTACACTCTGTACAGATGGTTTGAAGTTAAGCCTAAAGTGAGGGTTCATAGAGTGATTGACACAGAATATACATAGGCTAATGTAAAAACCACATGTAGTACTCAGTGGACTATATCTGTCCCTCCACAGCTCAGAAATGCTTTCTCATGTCGCTAATAACTGTTAAACTGTGTTAATATGTGACATATTGGGTGAGACCCTGATATTGCTGTTAGAGGTCGATAACTGTACTTGAAATGAGTCAAACCCAAATGTGTTCTTTATACTATGATAGATTTCCTAAACTTAGCTTATAGTATCGCACTCGAATTGTAACTCTTGTATCGTGATACGTTTCGTATCGCCACATTCTTTCCAATACACAGCCCTACCTGTGGATATTATGTTCCATTTCTGTCAATTGATCCTCTTAAATGCTACACACTGGACCTTTAATCTCACTCAATACACAATATTCATTCGATTTTTTTTTTTTACTGTAACAGGGTGAGTAAAATGAATTCGGGAAAAGTGGTGACTTCACCCGCTGAGAATACCTTTCAGGGCATGGAGGTTTTTAGTGGATGATGTCACCAAGGGTGACTAACTCAGAGAGGCTTGGGCTGGTTACATGGAAAACATACTGTATGTTTTACATTAGCAGTTAATTATAGATATTGTCTGATGGCATAGCAGCATCCTCCTACACATAAACTCCATTCAGCAGCAAGAATATAAAAGAATATATACATTCAGTAGATGAGAAGATGGAGGTAAATATCACCTACAATCATTGACATCAGGTGAGAAAACCTCAAATTTACAGTGGTAAATTACATTTTCAGTGAAAAAAAAAGAGTTCTGAGTTGTACTTACACTGTTTATTTTCATATAACAGACTTGTATGAGACTATAAATATATAATTCATGCAGATGTGTGTCTGCCTCAGGAGGTGAGTGAACTCAAATGATGCAAACACCTTTTGATAGATGCAGATGGTGATACATGTGTGATGCATCACTCACATGTAATAAGCTACAGAATAATCTGTGATGGCGTTTATCATGTTCACTTCTTGGCTGACACTGCTCTTAAACTTTATGTCTCCACAGGGGAATGTGGAGTATCTGTTGAAGTGGAAAGGATGGCCTCCAAAGTAAGTAAACTTAATCAGAAGGATGGCTGGAGAGTTTAACACTGGCGACTGTATTCACGTTGACATGTACAACAGATTATACACGTGCACAGAAAAGTACCGTAGCCATATAAAATACCACAATATATGCTCATTCACAAAGATAACAACATATACACAGAATGCTGCTGGATGAGCTAATGTGAAACCTCCTTTGACAGATTGATTTATTAACAATGTTCTGAATAGTTTGGAAATGGTTAAATATAATATGGTTCAAAACTTTGATTATTAAAAGTACCTTGAAAAGATTTTTCCAAATGTTTTTTTTATTATGCAACAGAAACACCACATTTCCTTTCACATTTTTCACATCAAAAAGTGAATGCTTGGTTGACCCTCTGTTGAAGATCAGCACATAGTTACGGTTTGAGTGTGAGTGAAGAAGATGGAGCCGTTGCGTGAGCTCCTTCCTCAGCCAACACATAGGAACTGTTTTCAATAAGAATCTTTTTAAGATGGAAAATGTTAAACAACAATGCAGCAACGGACACACTGATTTAATTACCTGACTGAATGCAGTAACGAATGAATGAAGGCAATGAATAGAAAAATAAAGGAGGCTTGTATATACTGCTGTTTATGTGTTGCAGGTACAGCACATGGGAACCTGAGGAACACATTCTGGACCAGCGCTTGGTGCAGGCCTACGAAGAGTAAGTAAGGCTCCACTCTACATGTAATACTTTCCTAATGAAAAGCTTTTGCCTGAATCCAGGAAAGCACGGCGGGTTTGACACATAGTGGAGCAGGAATGTGCACAATAAATCAGTTTTTCTTCTTACATTATATTGATCATAAAGAGATTATGATTCAGCAGACCAAGACCCAGATCCAAGACCTCTCTCCAGCTGGCATTAGCATGTGTTCTGGGTTGTGGACTGTAACTAGATATGCCAAAACACATCAAATCCACATCTAAAGACATCAAAGCTGTAAGGAGGATGCTGCCTCCCAATCATCTCCAAAGGTGGTCAGACACACATCTGGCCATACTTACAATGGTGGTGTAACTGCACTGCATCTCTCATCTGGATGTAAACAGTCGGTGTGGTTTACTCTGGTCGGCTGATAAGTGGTGCTAGTTGTTTACTTTCAGTTTCAAAAGATGTCATTAATTTGTTTAAAGTGACATCATGCAAGTCTTATTTTCTTAAAAGGTGCCCTGTGGAGTTTCTGCTTACATTCAGTGTTACTCACCAAAACACATTGTGTGTATCCTTGTAGTCGAACGAACATGCATTTCATTCCTTTTTTTATTTTATTAAGTGAACTGAAAATACAAATGTTTCAAGCTTGAAAGCTAGATATATATTGCCTTTAATAGATAGTGACAGCAGTGGAGTGACAGGAAAGGGAGTAGAGAGAGGGGATGACACACAGCAGAGGGCCACAGGGCGGATTAGAACCCATGGCTGCTGCAGCAAGGACTCAGCCTCGGCACATGGGACGCTCTTCCAGGTGAACTATCAGGGCGCGCAGGAAGCTATAGACTCCTGATAGGCTGCGCAATGAGTTTTCTTCTATTTCCATCTTCTTCCCTAACTGTTGTCCCTTTTTTATGACTGATGTCACCTGGCTTGACCAAGTTCCTCCTTTGGGGAGATTGATAATAAAACATTTGCAAAGCCAGTTTTTCTTAAATGTCTGAAACTCTCACTGTTTACATTGAAACGCCTACACACAAATAAGTGTTCAAACACAGCCTAAGAACAGGTCTCGATCAGCGAACATATGCACAGACGTTTTAAAGTCAGAAGACATTTTGCCATCGGCCTCTTTTTAACAGTGTGCTTGGCTTTTTAGAGCGCAGAGAGACAGAGCTCTGGGTCACAGGAGAAAAGGATCCAAAGCCAAAAGACTCCTTCTGCAGGTAAAGTTTGGAGTTTAATAAAAAAGGTGAAGAGTGACAGTTTTTTCTGATCTCATAATTTGTACTTTATATAAATAATTTATACTTGTTGATACAACTCTTTCCTTTCCCTTTGTTGGCCCGATCCAGTGATTGTGCTCTATACCATAGTAACTAGTTTCGCTCTGAAATGACAGAATTTTGAAGCAATTCAAGTTTGAATTTTAAAGTGTTTCCTCTTTGATCTTTATTCAGAACACTGTCTACACCATGGATCTCCGCAGCGCTCACAAGACTCCAGAGAAGCCTCCGCCTCGCCTGCGTCTCTCCCTGACACGCTCTCTGGTCTCCGAGGATGAGGATCAGCCGTACAGCGCCTGCAGGCAGGACCCGCAACTGGCACATCGAAAAAGCGAACCCAGGAGGTCACAGTTCAAGTGCCTTGATTCAAATCCTTCGAGTCCCACCCAAGAGGACTGGGAAAGTCGGGGAGAGGAAGAAGAGGAGGAGGACAATGTAGAATATGAAGAGGATATATACGAGGAGGAGGAGAAAGAGGAGGCTCTAAAGGAGACAACAGAGAAGAGCGGAGGCATTTTAAGTGGTAAGTGTGTCAGTCGGTCAGCTAGTAGATTCTAATCAGCGTCACGACCCAGTTTACTTGACTCTTTGTGAACCTTCTAGTGGGCATGCAACCAGAAACATAAAACTCCCTCTGTCCAGAGCTGATTAAAGAGCAAATCATGCAGAGGTGAAAATATAGACTCATTTAGGAGTTACAGCTACTCTAGAGTCTCTTCGGAGATCTGTGTCTCTCTCAGATCTACTCATCACACAGTCCGTCGCATAATGTAACATCCTTCTGCTTGAAAGTTTGACACCGTAGCACATGTAAATCTTCAATAAATGAATAATGACAGTTACAAGACAGAGTGGTAAAGCACATTGAAATGATTTAAGGGTGAGACATTACTAAATCTTGTCAAAATAATGGTGGAGTGCAAAACGGGGCACCTCTGTCCTCCCTATCACCTGAGAAGCACTCCGAGCCAAATACCTCCTATCTGTCAGTTTATAACATCTATCAGAGCACAGATAATCTTTCCAGGCCAGTTCAGGGAGGTTAACTCAATAACAGTACACATGTGATAGGCTTGATGCAATGCAACTCTACTCTTTTCTCCCTCCGCCTTTCTCTCCCCACGCTCCTGTCTCACTCAGGACAGGACAGTACAGACGAGTGGAGCTCCGCTATTGGACCGGACGAGGTCATCGCATCAGAGAAGCCGGACGACGGCGTCTGGAGACCCGTCATCGGCCCGGGGGAGGTGACCGTCACGGACGTCACCCTCAACTCGCTCACAGTGACTTTCCGAGAGTCGAGAGTGGCCATAGGCTTCTTCAGAGACTGGGGCCTGGAGGTCCGAAATGAGATGAGGTCTGAGTAGGTTGGCGGGGAGGGCGCTGCGAGAGGGAGGAGGAGGCTTCATCACAGCGTGTGAAAGGTGGTTGAGGGCCAGGGTTGGTGTTTTCACTCCCTCTGCTCTTCCTCTCACCAGCTACTTCCAGCCTAGTCAGTGGTATGTTTACATGCACAGAGTCACCTGGATACAATCCAAACTCCAGTTAATGTTATATTTAGGTTAACTCTAACTGGTCGTGACTTCCATTTTAGACCCAAGTCGCCAGGCGGATTGAGGTGCAAACACTGGCACTGGACCCAATGTGAGCGAGCTGTGGCCCGTATATGGCACATGTCAGATTCAGGTTGATTTTGGAGATCCACACTTTGGCTAAGGGCTAGATGTAGTTAGCAGTACTTGGGCTGGTTGAGGGCCCCCATTGTTGGCCCCTCGTCCACTGTCAGTGTCAGTGAACAGTTAAAATGTGACTCAGTAGGCGAATCGGGAAGTGAGTCATAAAGTCTCACACCTACATTAGGAGTCTGTGACTTGCTGGGATCAGTTAAAATGTGCTGATACAGAGATATAATTATTTTATTGGTTTTCATTTTTTCCACCTTAAAGGTTCCCTGTAGAGTTTTCTTCAAAATAAACAGTTATGTTTACATTCAGTGTTACTTACCAAAAGTATTTTGCCTCAATTTTATCCTCTAGGTTTAATAATCAATCTAATGCATTTCAATCCCATTAAAACCTTTGCAAAGGCAAGGCAACTATTTATATAGAACATTTCATACACCAGGGGAATTCAATGTGCTGTTACTGGGTAATAAAAGTACAAGGATACGCAGTTTGATCAAATTCAAAACAAAAAAGTTCATTAAAGCTGATTTCTAAAAATGAATTAGACCCTGCATTGCATTGTTTACTAGCTTGCAGTCCTATTCTTCCTTTCCTTCTGCTAGGGCATCACTGCCACCTGTAGATCAGCGGAATAGTGTGAAACCTGCAGCAGGAATGTGCATCACATCGCCCAGGAACTAATAAACTGGGACCCACTCATGACAACATTGCTCCATAGCGCCACAAGTGGTCAAAAACAGCACAGGGAACCTTTAAAGCAGTTAACAGGAGGGACCTCATGGATGAAAATGTTGATCTTGTCTCCTGTCATACCGTACGAGTTGTCCATGTCAGATTCAGCAAACGTAGTAAAATAAACAGTTCCTACAGTCATCAGATGACTGTAGTGGGAGAAGAGTATACAGTAGCATAGTAGCAGAGTTATGACATCTATGTTTTGTGACCTAAAAGCAAATAATGTGAGTAATCAGGTGAAGGAGAGAAAGTTCTCTGTGCATGTAAACATGGCCGCTGTTTCTGTCTCTTCCACACTAAGCAAACCGTTCAGTACTGGACTCATACGTATTGTACATACTCCAAAACTACAGTAAAGTGGGCATAGCCGTTAGTCCCATACTAACATGCAGTGCTGTACCTGTAACCTGTGAAAACATAGACTGTTACTACTGTACAACACGTGGCTTAGTCTTGTATGCGTTTCCAAATCCTCGGAGAGATGATTTGATCCGCCTGCATGGCTTTCTCCTCCGGTACAGTTATATTAATGCAAACACACACAGTGTAGTTCTCTCTGTCCACCCAGCTCTTCATCTCACAACATACGACACACCACAAACGATATGAATTGTACCAAAATCAGAAAACTAGATGAGACTTGATGACAGAATGTACTGTGGAATTGCACTGTGTTTACTGTACATCATAAAGGTTAGTGTGTCTATCAGGAGCCTCCTTGTAGAGTTTGACCGACAGGGTTAGTCACATATTTTAAATGACTGAAAGCTGTTTTATGAAACATACCTAAAGGTTTTATTGAATTGCTCCCTTCCAGTTACCTCTCACAAAGGCACAAAAATCCACTTGCACTCTTAAAGATAATCTATCACAGTTAACAATGTGTAAAAGTGTGTCAGCTTTATGGATTTATTAAGCTGTGTTCTAGTAATGTTACCAACTATCGTTATTAAATCAAACCAAAAATCAAGACAAAGCTTAAGCAACATGGACATTAAAACGATCATGTTAATCTTGTAGTTTTTGTGTTGCTCAGGAGGGGTCTGCATCCCTAAAGGGGTTGCGAGAGCAGTCTAGTCGGTCGCAGGACGATTGTCCAGGACTTAGGAAAAGTTTGTCTTTTAGACTTTTCTCTGATGTTTGCTTTTATCTTGTGAAATACTTTAGTTTCAACCTTTTTAGGCCTTTTAAATTATTCAGATAAACCAATCAGCTCACAACTGTCCTATGACGGGGGGTTGCAAGGAGATATTCCCTTATATTAAAGGTTAGGTTCACAATTTTTCCAGTCCTAGTAGTCATTCCTGTTGATACCGGCCATTAAGAGACCCCTTCCTAATGTGCTTTCATGTGTAAGTGATGAAATCCACAGTCCCAGTTCTCTGCAAAAATATACTCCAAAGTTTATATTATGCTAATATGAGCAGCTGTCTAAGTTCAACAAATCACATGAATGTCCTCCAGAGTTAGTTAGTTAGAGTTAGTAGTCTTTTTGGTATAAAATTCCCTCTTCGTGCTTCCTGTTTTCTTGGTCAACTGCAGAAATTATACTTACAAAAAGACTACAGAAGCCTGATATTAGCTTCAGACTACATTTTGAATACATTTTTGCACAAAAAGGCACCTGTGAATTCGGCAAATTTAGATTTCAATTGAGCCTTTAGCTCCGTTATCAGAGAACTGTAGATTGTAGAAATATCAAGTTCATTTCAGACTTTGGAAACCGCAGTTAAAAGTAAAGTCTATTACAAATAGAATAATTATTAGTAGGTTAATATTAATAGATTCCAATGACAGAAATACAAATAGATGAATACCACTAATAATAATATAATGATTAAATATCTAGAATAATAACATAAGTCAGAAAAATGGGAAAATGGGAATTTCCGAATGTACAATTCCATGACACCTGAGCAAATTCAATCTGAAATAAACTGTTGCTGCCTGGAAGGTGAGAGGTTAATCTAAAAACCTGCATGTATGTGCAATGTGTAGTTAATGGGCTAAAACATGAGAAATATGGTCTTTAACGCAGGGTGACCCAGCCCCGTCTATCAAACACATGGTTAGAAAACTAAATAATCATTTAATTAGAAATACTTACAAATCCAAATTTTCCCCACAGCTTTACAGACTTATTTTATGTAACTGTGTTCAGGGATAACATCGATTAATAAAATAAAAGCCCAACTCTGAACCCAGTTTGTCGGCCCAACCCTGCTGGCTTCCTGACCAGTGGACACAGGAGCTGATGTGATGTGTCAAGTCTGTGGAATCTCCCACAGTGGCGTCCCATTGGTCCACGTGTTGTTTATCCTACACTGAGGATGATGGGTCAGCGTCTCGTGATCTCAAACCTGTCTCTGTGTGACAATGAAGCTGCAGGGAATGGAAGTGCCTGATGTTGCATCATTTTGTTGTTGTTTTGTCTGTAGGGCTAATGCCTCTCTCTATCCTTTACACACACACACACACACACACACACACACACACTATTACTGTCCCAGCTTATTTGGTTTCTGTCTCTCTGAATGCACGATCCTCCACGGATGTTATTAAGACTTGAAATATGAGGGGACTTGAAAGGGGAGGAAGATGGAGGGGACAGTAGGGAAAAACCTGTATTTTTTAAGTCGTTATTTTTCTACATTGACCTGAATGTATATTTATTCTTTAAAGATACCTGTGTATTTGTCATGCAGATGACTGAACAGAGTAGTTTTTATACAGTTTGTGATAACTACTGAGCTGATGCCATATTTAAATGTACTGAAACAAGCACCTGGATTTGACGTTGCCTAATGTGGTTGCTTGTGCTGCTTCTGTCCACCATTGAGCGAAGAACCTTGCACTTTATTGTGATGTAAACCTGCACCTTACCTGCTCCAGTCTATGAAGTGTCATCGTGTAAAGAATATTTCTATGGTAATACTAAAATAAATGTTGCTCATGTTTAATATCATTTTAATCAAACTTGTTCAGTTCCTTATTGACATAAAAACAGCTTGTTTCTAGCTCGTAGATGCAACATCGTGTTCACTCACTAATGCGAGTTTGGAAGAGCCGTATGTTTAACACTACGAGTGAATTTTTTAATGCCCCGATAACATTTCAATTTTAAGTGAGGAACTGTAAGAAGGCCACTGAGACTAATTTTACAAATAAACAGCACACCAATGAACAGCTCTCACCTTAAGCCTTTAAATACATTTAGAGATTGTACAAAAAGGATTAGGGGAGGTAAGACAAGGGGGAGGACTTTGTATTCTGTATTTTTGTGGAAAGGAGGGTCTGACTATTTTGGGAGAGCATGAGAAGATTGATACATTTTTACTCACCCCAAAGTTATAGTACACCCTTATACCCCATACCCTACCCATACAAGGATTAAATGGTCACAAATGTTGGCTTTAGTGTGTGCCAGGAGTCAAAACAGTTATATGTGTCATATAAGACTGTGTTTAGCCTTTTATTTAGAATCTTAAAGTAAAAGCTGGAATACTTATGTTTGTTATGCTTGCCTTAAATTTAGAAATGTCTAATTCCACTTTTTACTCCACCTCTTTTACTAAGTAATGGTCAAACAGGTTGTACCACGCAGTACTATATTCCCAGATACATGGGGAAGCGTATTGCAGTCAATCGGAAGGGTCCGAAAAAATATCAACACTTATAACACAATAATTTCGCTAGTAATCACTTACATCTATATATATATATAGATAGATAGATATATCAGCCTGGCCACTTTATCAGTCTAGGTCTAATTCAAACCAATTACATAGTTTAGAAAATTGACATTTCCTGAGTCTACAAAATACACCATACATATCCACTGAATAATGCTCATATGTGTGTTAAATTGTTCAATAGTCATTTATTCGCCTGCAGAAAATATCTCACACAAATGTGAAAAAAGAGGAAACAGTTGAGTATTTTTCCAATGGTACAAACATACTTTATTGTACAATTAATTTATTGGCAAAAAAAAAACAATCAGACCACCAAAATAACTTAAAAAAAAGAAACTAATGAAAATGGAGCAACAGTTATTTTTGCTTTCTCTCAGCAAGCACCAAAATTGTTAACAAGAAGAACGAAAAAGTGGTCAAAGATTCCATTTGAATACTAAACAAATATTTAAATAGTCTTATTTCCAGTCTCTTTTTAGGAGAAGAAATGATTAAAACAAAACTATTTGTTCAGTTGCCATCAGTTTGTACAGTGATTCAGTATGTTTACAACTATATTCATGTACATGAAACATTTCTTAAAAAGGATGGTATAATATACTCCACGGCCTCCCCAGGGCAAACTGAATGACTGTCTGCAGTGTCTTTTTGCATCACCATAACATCTTTAATACAAAACAAAACGTTTTTATCTAATAATTCCTGTAGCTTCAAGTTTTATTTCCAAAAAATAAAATTAAATAATATATCTATATATAAAAGACAGTTTTTCCTTGTTTTTTTCTTATAAAATAAGTCTCAAGATATATTGCCACCTGGTTCTGATGCGTCCCCTCCCCATACCCAGCAAGCCCAACCTTTTGAGAAAAATAGTGAGCATGTGAATATTGTGTCTTCAGTCCTCTCCATAAAAAGCTAAATGACCAAATTTAAACTCTTTCAGATCACACCTCTAATCAACCTCGGCCTCGGCTCTACTTCGTGCACGTCTAAGTTTTGAGATTGTTCAGGTTGTGACTTGTTTGCAATAACCCCTCCCTCCTAAATCCTTGTCAAAAATACCCAGAAAAAGGCGCATTGGTGCTTGTGACCTTCTAAAAACCCATAAACTGTACCTTTTAGAAAAAATCTCAATACTCGTACAAGAGATCAGGAAAAAGTACTTTTGTAGTTTTTTTTTATACCAAGATAACAGCAAAAAAAATATCCCAATTCCCCAAAAACGAAGGGGGGGAAAAAAACCCAAGCCCCAAGCAAGAAAAAAGGAAATTTTCCTTCTTTTTTGCTCCCAATAAAAGGTTTTTTTTAAAGTAAATGTTAACAGTTGTTTTGTTTTTTTGGTTTTTTTTTTTTTAACAATTTTCACTTTTCATTAACAAAAAAAAACAGTAAAAATCCTAAAGTTCCCCAACCCAATTTTCCTTACTTTTTTTTGGTAACCCAGTACCCTAAAAAAAAAAATTTTTTGGAAAAAAAAAATTAAAATCTTGTGGCTTTTTGAAGAGGCCAGTTTTTCCCCCATGAGAATTTTGAGGGGAAACAAAAAGGGGAAAACAAGGAAGAGAAAAGCCCCCTACTGAAAGGGGGGGGAAAAAAAACCCCGTTTTTTTTTTTGGGGGGTGGAGGATACAGGCCCCAGGAAATTTTTTTTTTTTTCCCTTAAACCCCTTTCCTGCCCAAGCCCCCCAAAAAAAAATAAAAAATAAAACAGAACCCAACCTTTTTCTTTCCCCCATTGTCCCACAGTTTTTCCATAAACAAGCCCCTTTTTTTTGGGTAAATATTTATGTACACGGCCCAAAACGCCACCCAAACCTTTTTTAATGTCCCAAAGCCAGCTTTTTTCCCCCCCCAAAACGGCCACAAGTACGGCCTCCCTTTTGAAAAACAAGCTAGAACCACGATCCGGGTCAGGGGTCCAAGCCCTCAACGCATATGCGCTACACGGACCGAGTAGTAACATATAGATAGTCCTATTGAGTTCACACATATTTTGGTTGT